TGGTTTAAAACACACACACATACATTAGGTTTTTCTTCACCTTCAAATAATTTTTAGCACTTAAATTTTAGACTCGGTAGCTGGAGATAATGATAACATCCTACAAAGACCAAGAACTCAACGGTTACTAAGCTTTACCAAACACAATTGTCCTCGTCAAAGACAATCAAAAACTTTATTCACAATTATTTCATATAGCAGTAATATCAACTGAACTGGAAAACTATATACAATATGTTTAGAAGACGAGCATATACTTTAAATAAATAACATTTTCAGAAATATTTCTTTATTATATGTTGCGCCCAATATATGTCACCGATAACTAAACGAATGACACTATCTGGTTAATCGCAAGAAAACGAAAGATCACCAAGTCATTGGCGACCTTGGGTGAGTGTAGCGGCGGCATGGTGAGGCTGGTGACTCGGGGTCCGGCTGGAGGTATAAAGCCAGGCTGGAGACCAGGGAAGAGTCAGTGTCTGCTCATCACCCCATCACTACACTACCAAACATGTTCACTTCTGTATGTATTATTCACTGTTAATGGAGAATTACATTTTAGTTAACTCAAAAATATATTGCAAATGTTTAATATTAAATATTATATCATAAAGTACACTAAAATTGCTTCCATTACGACTGCAGAACAAATAATGTAGAGAGCTGAATAAAATACTAAGAATAAAGTGCAATATTGAAAATCTGTTTATTTCAGCTTTTCGGCCAATATAATGAAGTAATTTAATATCAAATACGTCTGTCATTCATCGTAACGGACTAGCATTAACATTTTTAACATTTAATTTGCCAAATTCATTTATTTTACATCAGACTACCTCTGTTATTTTTACATGTACCACATAAAACAACATATTTCTCATTTATATTCAGTCACTCGAGAGATCACTCATATGCAGATCAACACCTGTAATAAATACAAATGTTACAACGATTAAAATCTGTGGTCGTGCAGGATATAGCGGGGTATAGACCATAGTGTTTACGGAGGCAATTAATGTGCAAATATAGGTAAATCGGTAGTCCAAGAAAATGTCGAGAAAAATCTTAGTTTCTGTCATATTGTTGGGTAATATTTTGTAAGCTCAAAATTTCTCTTCTCTTAACAAACCTATAAAAATGCACTCTCACGCCTTTGAATGTAATTTATTAGTTAGATTTTAATAACTGTGTGGAATTTCTTTTGCCTCTTCAGTTCAAGAGTAGGAATCTGGTTAAAGACAGAAATCTAGAAATGTCTGCTGCTTACAAGAAAGCCATCAAATTGGCAAGGTCCCCGGTTGTCATAATTATTTATTGACAGTCGAGAAAGTTAAAGAAATTTCACAGGAATACATAATGAACTGCAGTTAATGTCTTGTGTTCCCACAGATGGTGTTGATGTGCATGCTGGTGGCCGCTGGTGTGGCTCTCCCAGGTGGATACCAGCAAGCATCCTATGTACGTCATCATGTGTTTCACGATTTTTTTTAACTTTTTATCATATCACAATTAAAAATAATAAAATACTGAGTGATGAAGGCAATAATGATGTTACTTTGATGATGTGTCCACAGGCGCCTCTGCCCTACGATTTCAACTACGGGATCAACTCCGGAGCCACCAACTTCGGCCAGCAAGAGAGCGGCAACAATGGCAACGCCAAGGGCTCCTACTGGGTCAACTTACCAGACGGTCGCGTCCAGAGGGTTGATTACTGGGCCGACGGTAGCGGATATCATGCTACCGTGAGCTTCCAGGGCACCGCCAAACATCCCAGCTATGCTCCCTCTTATGGCTACTAAAGACTGCCCAGCAACACAATAATTGATAACCTCTATCTTGCATCAGCTTGTTTCACTTGTTAAACAGATGTGTTTATGAGTTTTATTAGTTAGGAACTACTGTTAATATAATTTTTCAATGTCATATGTGTTGCATCTTGTATAATTTTATATTTTAATTTGATGTGTTAAATATTACAGAAGAAAACTCAATGATTTCTCAACAAATTGAAAGAATGTTAATGAACAATAAATAAATTATAAGAAAAAGTATATTTGCAATCCCCTTTTTACTGCCTCTGATATCCTAATGCAGCGTGAGAGGCGTCAGAGGTGGTCGGTGAACCAGGATGTTCCTATAACACGTGTAAACAAACAAGGAATCTCAACGATAGGCAAAGTAACGAAAAATATCCATTTAATTTGGCACAATGTATTCCTCTCCTTTCCAGAACTTTTATCACCTTATACTTATAAAAAAAAGAAACTGATAAGTGAAATATGTAAAATAATTATCTCAGTACAGTTTTCGTTTGTTATTATTATTTAATCGAAATGGTCGGTGTTGCTCGAGCGATGAACAGGAAGCACGTTTCCACTTTACACCATCTTCGTCAATGTGGCTTCTTCACTTCACCATCAAGTCCCCCCCCCCATCCCCCTGCACCACCATCTCTCGGCTCCCTGAGTACTTTATGAACATAAAATTCATGAGATATTACTTCACTTCACACTGTCTTAAAAATTTAATCTTTACCGTTGCCGACATTTTCGCGTTTACAGGATCTCCTCAGAGCCCAAACGTTTTAGGCACCGAGAGCTTAAATGTGACCACTGTGGTTACCTAAGAAATCGTAGTCTTTGGAGCCGATTTTCTTTCATGAATACGGAAGATGATCATTGTGTCAGGGGAGACTTACAAACGTTTCGCAGCAGCTACTGTCTTCAGTAAAATCCAACCATCGCAAAAGGCAAACAGCCTGAGCCCTCATAAAGTTCTTAACCTACTTCGAGTCTCAATGTGAAGAATTTTATATTATTTGTATTTCAAGAGAGTGAGTGAAACATTTTATGAGGTACACTTGGAGCAAATTCAGTGAAGCAATATTCAAGAAAAGTTTGTTACATAGTTATTGAACCAATAGTCATTCATCATTCATATAAACACTTGATGGGGCACTAGCCGGTCCCCGGGTCGTCTCTCTTCCCAGGCGTAGAGGCCCGGGGTTTATGTTTATCTATCTAGCTCTGTTTGTAAGTTTCTCTCCCTCCCAGTCCTCCCCTCCTCCCATTCTCCCTCTCCCGTTTTTCCCTTCCAATCTCCATCCCTTCCAATCTCCATCCCTTCCAATCTCCATCCCTTCCCTGTCATTCCCCCATTTTCCTCTCCCTCCCATTCTCTCTCCCTCCACTATGGACACAATAACAACAGAGAAGAAGAAGGCCAGGTGTGGATGGATGCCTTGGCGGTGGGAAAACAAATTCACGATTCTCTCCAAAAGAAATAAGAAAAAATCCACGAACAAAGTAGTCACTCAGGCTGAAACAAATTCAAGAAACTGGCAGTGTGCTACATAAAAAGGGAACTGGTGGGCATAGTGTCTCGCGACAGAACAGCAGAAATTCAGGATGCAGTTAATCGAAGTTCAAAACAATCCATTACCACCAAAGAAGCCGGAAACTGCAAATACCGCGTTCAGCAGCTCATAAAGTAATCACAAGAGGATAAATCGTCACGAAATACATTGTTCCTATAATGTCTGGAATGAAATCATCTATCGCCTTCATGTTCAGCGTGCTACTAGCGGAGTCAAATGGATGTTTATCGATGTACTGACCGATCTATGGTAGACAATCTAATAATACAACAGTGCCTCCTGTTATGTTATTAGTTACCACAAACCGTTTTTAGAAGCTCCTATGTTAGTTAATTTATTAAGGCTTTTAATAGGGAATAGTTTGTGAACATTATCTTGGCGAAGACGAGAGGCGGCTTAAAGTTGTTATGGTGTCACCTATTGTTAGTAATCGTTCATTGGACTCATAATGAGTAAGAACATCACTCGTCAAGTGAGCTCCGGGGTCTAAACTGAAGACGATTTAACCTATTTAATGAGCGAGTTATGACATCATATTATATGACGATATATTTGAATTTTTTTATGCTGCATTACGAGATAAGACAATCAGTATTTTGATAAACTAACCTAATTGTATTTATGCCAAAACTAAATGTATGAAACAGATAATTGAAGATACTATTTCAATGTATTATCGTTCCATTAAGAACACTCTCTCTTCACTTTAATATACATTACGAAAAAGTCTCAAAAATTTTATGGAGTAAAGGTATTGCTGTTTTGAGTGTTAGTTATTGATGATCAGTTTAAAATCAAATTTTCAATTTAGTTTATTTATTAAGTCGAGTATTTCCATCCTGTTCATTTAGATGAAATGATTACAGAGGCACATAATGGTCTCAGAAACTGTACCCTAATGTTCATTGTGTTTACTACATACGGCAAATTTGTGGAAAACTTACCACATGCCGTAGTACTTGATCGAAGGTGAAATAAAGACCAAATATATATGTCAGTGAATTAAAAACAAACATTTCGGATGTAACCTAAATCTTTTCTCAAGGTGCTGCATACAGTGATCTGAATATTGTATACAAAGATGAAGGTTAAATCTGCAAACATGGTATTTAAAAAATTACACATATTCGGTCTTTCCTTCACCTTCAATTATTTTTTAGCACTATCTTACCGACTCGGTAACTGGAGATAATGATAACATCCAACAGAGACCCAAAACTCAACGGTTACTAAGCTTTAACAAACACAATTGTTCTCATCAATGACAAGCAAAACACTTTTTCACATAATTATTTCACATAGCAGTAATATCAACCGAACTGGAAAACTATATACAATATGTTAGGAAGATGAGCATATATTTTTAAATAAATAAAATTTTCAGAATTATTTCTTTATTTTATGTTGTGAAATCAAAATTTTTCACCGATAACATCATGGCTGACACTATTCGGCTACTCTCACGGAAAGGAAAAATCACCAAGTCATGGGCGACCTTGGGTGAGTGTGGCGGCGGGAAGGTGATCTTGGTGACTCGGAGTCTGGCTTAAGGTATAAAGCCAGGCTTGAGACCAGGGAGGAGTCAGTGTCTGTTCACCACCCCATCACCACACTACCAAACATGTTCACTTCTGTACGTATTATACAAAATGAATTCAGGATAAAATTATGTTAACGTGCAATTATAGATATAGCGGTCATTGAGGAAAACACCAGGCATTACTCTCACCTGTTTCACTGACATTGATTAGATACATTTCGAGGTCTTTGGGAACTTAGTATTCTCTCTTTAGTTGAAAATTAAAAAACGAATGACAACAATCGAGAAATGTCTATTGCTTATAAGAAAGCGGCATGATGTCAAAGTGTCATAATTGTTCCATGGCAGTCTAAAAATATAATTAAATAAATTCAGCAATACAATGCAACAATACACAACAGTTAACGTCTTGTGTTCCCACAGGTGGTGTTGATGTGCATGCTGGTGGCCGCAGGTGTGGCTCTCCCAGGTGGATACCAGCAAGCATCCTATGTACGTCATCACGTGTTTCACGATTGTGTAACTTTAACATAATTCCATAAATATATATATAATAAAATACTGTGTGAAGATAACAATAAAGATGTCACTTTGATGTGTCCACAGGCGCCTCTGCCCTACGATTTCAACTACGGGATCAACTCCGGAGCCACCAACTTCGGCCAGCAAGAGAGCGGCAACAATGGCAACGCCAAGGGCTCCTACTGGGTCAACTTACCTGACGGTCGCGTCCAGAGGGTTGATTACTGGGCCGACGGTAGCGGATATCATGCTACCGTGAGCTTCCAGGGCACCGCCAAACATCCCAGCTATGCTCCCTCTTATGGCTACTAACTTCTCCCAACAACTCAATAATTTATAACCTCTATCTTGTATCTCCTTTGTTTCGCTTGTTAAACAAATGTGTTTATGAGTTTTATTAGTTGGCAACTACTGTTAATATATTTTTCAATGGCATATTCGTTGGATCTTGTATGATTTTTTTTTTAAATTGTGTAGTGTTGAATATTACAGAAGAAAACAATGATTTCTCAACAGATTGAAAGAATGTTAATGAAGAATCAATAAATAATAAGAAAACATATATTTGCAATCCCTGTTTACATCCTCTGATATCCTAATGCAGCGTGAGAGGCGTCAGACGTGGTCGGTGAACCAGGAAGTTCCTATGACAGGGGTAAACAAACAAGGAATCTCGACGGTAGTCAAGTTGATGAACAAAATCCATTTAATTTGGCACAATGCATTCCACTCATTTCCAGAACTTTTCTCAACTTTTACTTATAAAAAGAGAAACTGGTAAGTGAAATATGTAAAATAATTATTTCAGTACAGTTGTCGATTATTATTATTTAACTGAAGTGGCCGTTGTTGTTCGAGCGATGAACAGGAAGCACTTTCCACTTCATATCGTTTTCACTAATGTGGCATCTTGACTTCACCACCAAGTCCCTCTCTCCCCCAGCATCCCAAACCCTCGGCTCCCCTGAGTACTTTCAAAACATGAAATTCATGAGACATTTCTTCACTACACATTGTCTTAAAAATTATATCTTTACCATGTCCGACATTTTCGGGTGTTCAGGATCTCCTCAGAGCCCAAACGTTTTAGGCACCTAGAGCTTAAATGTGACTGACCCCTGTGGTTTCCTAAGAAATCGTAGTCTTTGGAGCCGATTTTCTTTAATGAATTCAGAAAATGGTCATTGTGTCAGGGGAAGACTTACAAAAGTTTCGCAGTATCTACTGTTTTCAGTAAAATCCAACCATCGCTAAAAGCAAAGAGCCTGAACCCTCATAAAGTTCTTAACTTACGTTGAGTCTCAATGTGAAGAATTTTAGATTATTTGTATTGCAAGAATTTGAGTGAAACATTTTATGAGGTGCATTTGGAGCATATGAAGTGAGTGAAGCAATAATCAAGAAAAGCTTGTTACATAGTTATTAAACAAATAGTCAATCATCTTCATCAAAACACTTAGCCCGTCCCCCAAACAAAGACCCAAAAGTGATTCCATGCTCCCGCTAAACCGCCTGTTTATTAATGAAAAACGGTTTACACACGATTCACAACTTATTTCGTTCGAACAGTTCTGGAACAAGTGCTTCACTGATGAATTTTGTTCGAACCATAAAGCTGTAAATGTTTCACCCACGTACTACAAATACAAATAATCGCCAACAGAACCTAAACACCTAACCTAACGTAACCTATGCCTATATATATATGCACAATATGCTAATATATTATAATATTAATTTATATTTGAGAAAATTCCCGTTTTGGATAAACAGCATGTAAAAATTTATGAATGCGTCTGTGGGGTCGACCGCTGGATGTAATGGACTTGAGTCGAGGATGGGTTGCCAAACACTTGATGGGGCACTAGTCGGTACCCGGGTCGTCTCTCTACCCAGGCTTCTCCCACATATCTTCTTAGGTCTCCCCCCCCCCCACCCAAAACACACACTGTCCGCCTCCCCATCTCTTCTAACACGCACCTCCCCCGTCTCGTCTCATCACTATAACCATTTTCACAACACACTGTTTCATCACTGTAAACACCAGACACCATCTCCCCTTACACAATCCCTATCTCCACCGACACATAATCTCTCCATATCCCCCATCACTCATATTTATACGAACGATAAACTCTACGGACTGTTTGGTGGGAAACTAAATCCACATTTCTCTCCCAAACACGTAAGAAAAAATCCATGAACAAAATAGTCACTCAGGCGTTAACTGAAACAAGGGCATAATTCTTAATGTCTGGAACGAAATCATCTATCGCCGTGATGTTCAGCGGGCTATTAGCGGAGTCACATGGATGTTTACTGATGTACTGACCAATCTACGGTAGACCATTTAATAATACAACAGTGCCTCCTGTTATCACTATAACCATGTTATTAGTTGCCACAAACCGTTTTAAGAAGCTCCAATATATGTTAATTCATTAAGGCTTATAAAAGGCAATAATTTGTAAACATAATTTAGGCGAAGACGAGAGGCGGCTTAAAGCTGTTATGGTGTCATCTATAGTTAGTAATTGTTCATTGGACTCAGCATGAGTAAGAACATCACTCGTCTAGTGAGCTCCGGGGGTCTAAACTGAAGTCGATTTAACCTATTTAATGAGTGAGTTATGACACAATCATATAATATTGCGATATGTTTGAAAAGTTTTTTATGCTGTATTATCGAGTTAAAACAATCAGTATTTTGATTAACTATCCTAATGGTATTTATGCCAGAACTTAATGTATGAAACAGATCATTGAAGATAATGTTTTAAAGTACTATCGTTACGTTACGAACACTCTCTTCACTTTAATGTACATTATGAAAAGTCTAAAGAATTATATAAAGTAGAGGTATTGCTGTTTTGAGTGTTAGTTATTATTATTCAGTCTGATACGAAATGTTCAGTTTAGTTTATTCATTAAGTCATGTATTCCCATGCTGTTGATGGGGATGAAATGGTTACAGAGGCACATAATGGTCTCAGGAGCCGGACCCTAATGTTAGTTATGATAACTAGATACGGCAATTATTTTGGGAAAAACTTACCAAAATGCCGTAGTGCTTGATCAAAGGTGAAGACCATATATATGCCTAGTGGACCAAACTCTCACAAGTCAAGCCTGGCCTCGGGCCGGGCTTGGGGAGTAGAAGAACTCCCAGAACAACACCAAGCAGCTATATGTGTAAGTGTATTAAAAGCAAAATTTTCAGATGTAACCTAAACCCTTTCTCAAGGTGCTGTATACAGTATTATGAACACTGTATATAATATCTTGAGAAGATGAAGGTTTCATCCGAAAACGTGGTATTTAAAGCATTTACACATATATTCAGTCTTTCCTTCACCTTCAATCAATTTTAAAACTGAAATTTTTGACTCTGTAACTGGAGATAATGAATAACATCCAAAGAACACCCAGGACGCAACGGTTACTAAGCTTTAAAAAAAACACAATTGTTCTCATCACTGACAAGCAAAAAATTTATTCACATAATTATTTCATATAGCGGTAATATCAACTGAACTGGAAAACTATATACAACATGTTTAGATGACGAGCATATATTTTTAAATAAATAAAATTTTCAGAATTATTTCTTTATTATGTGTTGCGCCGAATATGTCACCGATACCTACATGACAGACACTATCCGGCTAATCTCAGGGAAAGGAAAATCACGAAAGGAAAGGCAAAGTCATGGGCGACCTTGGGTGCGTGTGACGGCGGGATGGTGAGGCTTTTGATTTGGGGTCCGGCTGGCGGTATAAAGCCAGGTTGGAGACCAGGGAGGAGTCAGTGTCTGCTCATCACCCCATCACTACACTACCAAACATGTTCCCTTCTGTATGTATTATTCAAAATGAATTCAGGATGAAATTGAGTGCTTAATTATAGATATATTCCAAGCTTTTCATAATCAAAATCAACTCATGTTTTTTAAACGCTCTTCTGTTACATGATTCTTGTGACGACTCAAGATCAAATAATCGATAGAGTTGCATAGAACTCTCACATAAAAGGGATTATTAACAATATTTATGATAGAATTATACTACCAATAAAATTAAGTGGTTCGATATTAAATACATTTTTCTTTTAGATTAACGAACAGCCTTTAGCTCTAAAATATAAAATTCAATCTCATTCACTAGATAGATAATTTAACTTCAGAACGAATTCAGTAATAATACTACAAATTACACTATTCTGTTAACGTGCAATTATAGATATAGCGATCATTGAGGAAAACGCCACCACAAAAATTATTTTCAAACGCATTTTAGGCAATATTTCTTAATACAGAATTCTGAATGTTAAGTGACATTTCAAAGGTTCCTCCTCCCCCTCTTTCAATGTATTTGATTAGTAAGATTTTGAGGTCATTGTTAATTTAGTTTTGCCTCTTTAGTTGAAAATTAAAAAATTAAAGACAACAATCAAGAAAAGTCTATTGCTTACCAGAAAGCGGCAAGGCGTCCAAGTGTCTCAATTGTTCCATGACAGTCTAAAAATATAGTAAAAATATACAGCAATACAATGCAAAATACACAACAGTTATGTCTTGTGTTCCCACAGGTGGTGTTAATGTGCATGCTGGTGGCCGCTGGTGTGGCTCTCCCAGGTGGATACCAGCAACCATCCTATGTGCGTCATCATGTGTTTCACGATTTTCTAACTTTAATTCACCAAATACTATTCAAGAGCTTGATTATTATATATAATAAAACACTATATGAAACATAATAATGATGTCACTTTGATGTGTCCACAGGCGCCTCTGCCCTACGATTTCAACTACGGGATCAACTCTGGAGCCACCAACTACGGCCAGCAAGAGAGTGGCAACAATGGCAACGCCAAGGGCTCCTACTGGGTCAACTTACCTGACGGTCGCGTCCAGAGGGTTGATTACTGGGCCGATGGTAGCGGATATCATGCTACCGTGAGCTTCCAGGGCACCGCCAAACATCCCAGCTATGCTCCCTCTTATGGCTACTAACGACTGTCCAGCAACACATTAACTGATAACCTCTGTCTTGCATATGCTCTGTTTCACTTGTTAAATGGGTCTGTTCCTGAGTTTCAATAGTAGGCAACTACTAGTTGGTGTAAATAATTTGTCAGAATATTATTTTGTTGTAACTATACAAACATTATATATGTATAGAGTATGTAATGTATTACATGAAGTTCAACGACATTTTTGCATCTAGAAAGAATGTTAAAGTCCAATAAATAAACTCAATAAATATAATCATCTATTTTCAATCTCTATTCACACACTGATTTTCTAATGTACT